TGGCCCACAGCCAAAAAGGGGCTGCGGGTTAGGCCATGGCCGTGGCAGGTGGCTTCGGGAGGGGGGACAGGGCTGGATAGGGCTGGCAGCCCCGGGACCATGTGCGTGACCCCTCGGGGGGACACAGGGGTGGCCCGTGGGGTGCATCTCTGTGGGTGAGGGCCCGACGCTGTCTCCAGGCTTTTCTTCCCCTCCCCACGCAGCCGTTCAGCCTTTTGGCTCTGTCTCCCCCTCTCTGGCCCACTGGGGCTGGGAGAGGCGCAGGGGAGGAGAGGGGGGTCCCGGGCCCCCCCCCAGGGCCAGGCTGGAGACGCACTTTCACTTTTACTGCCTTTTAACAAGCTTGTGTTCCTCTGAGCTTCGTGTTTAATAAAGGTTTCTACTGACTGGCCTTTGGTGCAGGGTTGCGCTCAGGCGGCTGGGGGAATTAGGGGTGGTGGGGACCCCAACCTGAGAAACCAAGGGGCTTTGGGTTAGTTTGTGGGGGTTTTTTTCTGTTTTGAACTTGAAACGCACGAGCAGGTACGTCACAGCCTGGTGGGGCTGCAGGAATTGCTTTGGTCCTTGGGGTTTTTCTTCCCTCCCCTGCAACTCCCCACACTCCCATGTGTGGGACAGGAGCTGGGGCTGATCCTGCCACCTTCTGAGAGGCTGTGCCCCAGGGGCACGGGGCAATGGGTCTGGATGGGGATCATGTCTTGTTTCGGCAGCCCCGTCCTCTGGCAGCCCCTGTCCCCGCTTAGCTCCTCTCCTGCCTGGCCCCCTCCCCTGCCTTCCCCCTGCTTTTGGGGCGGCGTTTGCACGGGGGTGCCCGCAGCTGCAGCTCCTGTGCAGGGAGGAGGAAGGCAGCGTGGGGCTGATGTGAAACCAGTCCATGCATCCACTGCACCGGCAGGCTGCTAGTGACTTCCCAGCTTCCCCGTTTGCCCCAGCACCTCTTGGTCCTGCCTGAAAGCAGCTGCTGGCACCAGTTCACAGCCCAAAGTTCGAGGTCCCCGTGTCCCTGCTCACTGGGGATGAGCTGGCTGCAAGCAGCAGCCCTGACCCTGAGTGCCCCAACCCCCTCAGCAGGGCACCATCCCCTTCCCAGGGAGGGATGCTTGGGGACGCCAGGGACCCCCTGGCAGCCTGGAGCGGACGCAGGGGGGCCGTGGTCCCCACCCCAGTGGCAGGTAGGGACGTGCCACTTCCTTCCCGTGCTTGTGCGTTCGATCCCCTCCTCTTTCTGCCCGGCCTCCCGCCTGTTTCTCCTTCAAACAGCCTGATAAATATTTCACCCCAGACCATGTTGCATAAGCTCACGCTGCTCCTGTGCCGGCTTTTGCAGGGAACGGGAGCCTAGGTTCGGGCCAGGCTGCCAGCGGGTGCTGGGGTGGCATGGCGAGCCCATCACCACTGCCTAGCCTCCCACCTCTGTCCTTGTGCCTCCAACCCCGCACCCGAGCACAGTCCCCAGCTTCTTGTGCTGCCACAGGGGTGTTCTTACTGCAGGACATGCGTGGATAGCGGTGTGCCGGTGTAGGGTGGCAAACCCCACAGCTCAGCCCTGTCTGTGGTGCCAGCTCCCGCACTGTCCCCGCTCCCAGCCCTCCTCCCCACAGCCCCCAGGACTGGCCAGGGCTCGGGAGCGGGGCCCTGGCGAGGAGGGGAGCGTGCCGTGCCGTGCCATCCCAAAACCCAGCGGCCAGGAGGGCGATGGCACACTCAGCCTGTGTGCTTGAGTGGGATGAGCCGGTGGCTTGCTGTCGCACTGTTGCCCCATCAAATGGGGCTTTTTCAGGCAATTAAAGTGAAAGAGCTCTCCTGCTGCTCCAGTCCACGGGGGTCCTGCCCCACAGAGCCGGGGGCAGGAGGATGGGGAGACCCGGGTGGGTGGGCATGGCCCCCGGTCTCCTGCCTGCTGCATCCTTCTTTACAAGGTCGATGTTCGTCACCTGAGGTGACAGAGGTGCTGAAGCTTTTATGATTTACTGCGGGGTGCCCAGCCCAGCCGTATGCCAACACATCCTCATCCCCACGCTTAGCAAGATCCGGCGGTCCTCCTCTCCCACCTGTTTTGTTTTCTTGGAGGGTGATGGTGATCTGTGGCGCTGCCCAAAGGGGTGAGACCCCAGCGAGGGGAAGGCGGCCATTGGCTTTCACGGGAGCCAGCAGGCACAGGGAGAGGGGAGAGGACTCATGCCAACGTCCTGAGCTCTGCAGAGCTGTTCCTGCAAGCAAGCTAACTCCCAGTAGCAGCTTTTCCCTTTTCCCCTGAGCAAAGGCAAAGCTCTCTGATGGCATTCACCACCACATTCCCCTAATAAGGAACCTCATGGGATCTTAAGCCCTGGGGACTCCTGGTCCCCATGAAAGCAGGCCCCCGGCAGGGACAGGACCGCATGCCCCGCTGCGGCAGTGCAGCCCATCTTGTGGGGAACACGTTGGCGGCTCCACGCGAGCCAGAGCACCCTAAAAATAACCGCTCTGCCTCCCTGGGATGATTCATGATGCAGCTGAAGGGCTTCCCTCCTGCTATTTTGAATTGCTGGAGAAAGAGCTGATGATAGCTTGTGTAGGGGCTCTCGTTTCCAAAGAGCACATGGCGGCTTTGGGAAGCGGCCCTGGGCACTGCCTTGTTTTATGAGCCTTCTGCGGCTGAGGATGCTTTTCTTCATCGGGCAAAGCAGACACGGTGCAGGAGATGGGCACCCCACACGCATCCTGCGTGTCCTGTGGGTCCTTGGCTCCTGTTTGCTCCCATCTCCCATTCCCTGGCAGTAACCCTGCAGGGACCGTGCCTGTCCAGCCCTGGGGTGCCCGGTGCTGTTGGGCTGTGGTGGTGGCTCCATTGGCACTGGCAAACGCTGCCGTGGGCGGGCAGGCGGGCATCCGCAGGCTGAGCTGCGCTGGATGCGGCTGTGGTGCTGAGCCCAGGCAGCTGTGGGGTCTCCTGTCCCCATGCTGTGAGGTTTGGACTTGGAGGAGTCAGGAGAGCCCAGCAGTGCGATCACCTCTGGGACAGGCTGGCAGTGGCTGGGGGACAGCATTAGATGTTGACACAGCATAAAGTTGGCCAGAATTTATACCTTTAACCTAATCCCCGTTGGAGGGTCCGGGCAGGTTTTGGGGGTCTCCGTAGGCCCCCGTGGAACATCTGGCCTGGGGTGCTGTGCCCCTGTCAGTGCTGCCGGCTGCCTGCCTCGCTTCTGCATCCCACCCCACACTTCAGTATTTCCCCTTCTGAAAACCACGCGTTTCTTCTGCAAGCAAGTAACTCAGGGAGGTGAAGCGCAGCATCGTTTATTCACAAGACGCCAGGGAGTGGGTGCTTCATTTAATTCCTGCCCGGTTGTGGTCCTGTGCCCCCCCGCCTGGGGAGCAGAGCAGAGCCCTGGCATCCTGCCCGCAGCCAGGGCCGAGGCCATGTCCCCCTTCCCTGCCGGTGGCTTTCAGGGCGTGCTTTGGAAGCACCTGTGGAAGGAGCTGGGGCACCCACTGCCTCCTGCCGCTGGCAGAAGTTTTGCCCTGGACTTCGCCCTCACTTTCCAGCTGCGCCTTTCCATGCCGAAACTCATGCTGACCCTGAGGCATCCTGACAGGGACTGAGCACAGATTTTAGCAACACAGGAGTGCGGAAAGGCCCCCTGAGGGCTTTGCTTTGATCCACAGCAGAACCCCACCATTGCCCAAGCCCCTTCCCATGCTCCTGGCAAGGCAATCGTCTGTCCCTGCTGCCGTAGGGCCTCCCCTGCCTGTTTCTCCATTTTAGTTTGCCTCCATTTTAGTTTGATTTGATGATGGCCATGCTCAACAGCTCCAGCTCTTGGACCTCTTTCTACCTCCCCGGGGGCAGAGGACAGCCCTGTGTCGCGTGGGCTGGGTGCACGTGCTCCCCGGAGCCCTTGGATACCCCCGCCAGGTCCCAGGTGCACTTTTCCGCCTCTTTTCCCTTGCACACACCCGGAGCAGCCGGGAGATGGTAAAAATAACTGTGATGCATCCTTGCAACTGCTCCGGGCTCAGCTTGCAGCCAGTCGTCCCCGGAGGAGGAGGAGAGCGAGCAAACTACACGTGCCGTGGCTCAGTCACGTTGGGCTAGGAAAGTGTCTCCGTTTCGAAAGCTGGGTTAAGAGAAGCCGAGCTCAGCAAAACGGGTTGGCGTCGAGAGGTCCGTGCGCAGGGAGAGGGGGTGCAGATGGAGGCAAACCTGGCTGGGATTTTTGCATCCAGGTGAAGTGGTTGCACACTCCTTTTTCTAAATAAAATCCCGTGATACTCTGAGAAGCATGGGGAGAAGCCCACCACCCCAAGAAGTCACTGCACTGTGTGTACCCTGGGAGTGGTGCGAAGCTCTGCCCAGGCACGGCTTTATCTAGTTTATT